AGGGCGGGTGGCGGGGAGTGTGGGGGGGAGCCGCCTGAGGGAGGGAAGGACGGGAGCCTCCGGCCTCCCCCGCCGGCGCTTTGAAACAAGTTTGCCTTGCAACTTATTTGGAAAAATCAGACTGTGTTTCACTGGGTCTGGTGGTGGGACTGGAGCTCGTGTCGTTCCCTGGGAACAAGATCCCCCCAAGCCGGGATGACTTACCACAACCCGGTGAGGTGCCATGTGGAAGGCACAGCAGAGACAGCCCTGGGCTGTATTTCCAGGACTAAAATCCAGTCCTGTTAAGTAGAGAGGAAGAGAAGATGGCGGTATGAGAAGGGAAGGAGGGAGAGAAGAGGAAGTAGCATCTGAAGGCATCAACCCTGGGCTGTGAAGAGTGACCCAGGGTATCTCTGTGCAGCATACAAACTAATTGCCACGGTTCTCCAGCGCCGTCTGCGCCTTCATGATCCCCCTCAGTCACGGGGGAGAGCGGGCAGTGAGCCTTGCTGCGCTCCCGGCCCCCCTGGCAGCTCTTCTGGCCCGGCGGCCGAGAGAGGCCTGGCCGCCCTCCGTCCCTAGGGCGCTGGCCGCCATCTTTCCTTCCGCGCCCCGCCGCCCTTCCGGCGGGCTCAAGGGCGAGCGCGCGTCGCTTCCGGTCCCCACCCGCCTACCCCGCGCAAGGTATCGCGAGAGTTCGCCCCGCCTCACGCGAGAGTGGCTGGCTCACCCGGCCGATTCGCCCGAGTCCCTTCGGCAATTTCCGTCAGCGCCAGGCTCGACCAATCGGCCGCGGGAGCGCATCGATGGGAACGGGCCCCCCGCGGGTTGCCCTCGGGGACGGCGCCCGCCGCGTGGGCCCCGGGGGCCGTTCGGCGGCGGCGGCGAAGCCGGCGAGGTGGCGGGGCCGAAGCTGGATGGGTCAGCGGCCGCCCCGACCGGCTTCACCGGACTTATGACCGGGCCCGCCGAGGGCGGCGGGGCGCTGGCGGCAGCCCCGTGCGTGGAGAGGCCGCATGATGCAAGGCGGCCGGCGGAGCGCGGGGGACTTGGCCTCGGTGAGAGCCGCGGCCTGGGCTTGTAAGGGGCCCTGTGGCGATGGCAGCCTTCCGATACCTGAAGGGAGCCTACAGGAGAGCCGGGGAAGGACTCTCTGCCAGGGAGTGGACTGACAGGACAAGGGGTAACGGTTTTAAATTGAAAGAGGGGAGATTTAGATTAAGTATGAGGAAGAAATTCTTTCCTTTGAGGGTGGTGAGGCACTGGAACAGGTTGCCCAGAGAAGCTGTGGCTGCCCCATCCCTGGAGGGGTTCAAGGCCAGGCTGGATGGGGCTTTGAGCAACCTGGTCTGGTGGGAGGTGTTGGAACTGGTTGATCTTTAAGATCCAACTCTAGCCATTCTATGATTTGAAGGCGCTGGGTGCCAGGCCGGTGCCACGGTTAGTGGGAGGTGCCCCACTAGGTGTACGTAAACACAGGGGTTTAATGTTAAGGTTGTGCTGGTGAACACTAGGAAATACCTCTTCGAAGCTGTGGTGTAAAGACTAATTCCGTTTCTCTGCAAACACGTAGCCTAATGCCTGTGATTAGTAGCATTTAGCATTATACATTATTATTACTCTGCTGCTGATCTTGTGTGGTAAGTTTCCCACTCAGCAGCGTAGGTGACAATAATCAATATTTTCTTCTTTGCATGTAGAAAATGGTGCCAGTCAAGTTCCTTTTTTTTTTTTAATAGTGAAATGCCTTTACGTGCATTATTAGAATTTCACTTTTCTCTCGTATCCTTTCTCTCACAAACGGATTTGTGCAGCACATTTGATGTGCCTGTATGTGACCAACACTCGTCTTTTTTTAATTTTAATTTATATGAATCAGAAAAGATGTGTTTTCATTCTTTTAACGTGTACTTATGAGTATGTCAAGATAAGATTGTGAGGGAAAAGCACAAGAAATAAAACTGCAGCTTGAACCTTTTCCTAATGTTTAAGGATATTCCCTGAATTCACTTCCAGTCCGTCTCTCACAAGTATATTGTTAAAATCACTTAAAATACTGCCTTGCATTTCCCGACTGTTTAAATGAGCCAGTTTTGTTCCAAGGGGGTATAACATAACAAGCTGTAAATTCTGTAATAAGCATGCTATTTGACAAGCTAAATTACATGCTAGGGATTGATTTAGATGGCAAGAAAAAAATGGTCCTGTTAGAGCCTTCTTGGACATAGTTCCCTTTTTGTGGTCTGGGGTGGAGGGAGTAAAAAGCAAAAAAAAACCCCAAAACTTCCATGCAGTTTGTATTTTGTGTGTACAGAGAGAGGAGGAGTGAAGCAATGGCAACGTGTGAGGGTAACAGCTGGTGCTGTTACGTAGTGCAGAGCGTGGATTCATCGTCAGAAGCTTCCATAAATACTGTTGACTGTGCTTTTGGGACAGGACTTAGTCTAATCGAACAATTAAATGGGTTTGGTTTTCTACTAGTCATTTTTCTGTCAGTTTAAACATGGAAGCAGAGACGGGACATGCCAATTTACATATATAAGTGAAGTGCTTCTGATAATTTTTTTTGTAGAGCTATATAGCTGCTTTTTTTCTTTTTAAAGGTGAATTAGGCTCTATCTGTGACTGTCATTCTGGCAATTGGAAAATTCAGAGCTTGTGCCCCACTGGCTCTTCTTCTCTGTATTTAAAAGCAATTAAAAGGTGGAACAGAGATCAGCGAAATGCTGTCTCATTCCCTGGAAAACAATATAAAACCTTACTATACAAGCAAAACAGCAAAGTAAAGTACTGTATATAGGACATTATCTAGGTTTAACTAGATTTCATTACTCAGAAAAGCAATTAAAATGGCTCCTTTTTAATTTCAAACTGAAACGGTGCGAACTCGCACTTCAGCTGTACGTAGACGTCATTTATGCATTCACCTTGAGTTTAGAGGAGACTGAGGGCTTTAGGTTCATATGGAATACCCTCCTATCTGCTTTTTTAAAAGCAATAATCTCTTATGTATCAAAGTTATATAAGGTACTGCCATAAAAAAAGACTATATGGGGATTATGTTTTGCTTTAAGACCTGGCACATAGTGTGCCCTGGAAAATGGTTGTCAGTGTAACTATACATTTATCAAAACAATCTCAAGTGTGAGAGGGGAAAGAATGAGTGTGTAATTCTCCAAGCAAGATACCTCTTCAGGCTTTTTTATGCCACCACAATTGTCTGTATTAGGGATTATATGTTCATAAAGAAATCTGTCAAAAGTAATCCTCACCGATATTTCTGCACTAATGTAAGTTTTCCATATAGATCTTGACTTTATCTTTGTTGGGGGATATGCTGGAGATACTACTACAGGAAATCCTTGCAGTATTCTGCTATTCTAATGGGAGTTGTATGTCTCCATTGTAAATTTCTTCGAGAAAGAAAAGTATGTTAGGTGTTCATATCAGTTTGGAAAATCTCTCTTAATAAGTTGGTGTCAAAATGCAAAGCACAAAAAGGGCCACGTGTGGAAAAAAGCCAGAAAACTGCTAAAATTGTGGGAGAACTAAAATAGCACAGAGGGTTGTATTCTTGCTCCCAGCTTTTAATCCTGCTTTATGGATAAAACTTTAAATGCTGTACAGAGGGATATGATGAATACATGCTTTCTGTGTGTAAACAGGGATTTCAGGTTTGTGTCTGCTTGAGTGTTGTGTCAGTGTGCTTTCCCTGGTTGGACGGAGGAGAGGTGAGAGATTTTGCTTTTGTGGGCTGAGATATTTGAGCAAACAAGCGTGCTCAGCTGCCGGCCAGTACCATTTCATACACACGCACTTTGTGCGTGGCAGGCGAGTCACTTTGACTTAGTTTTACATCCCTGCTTTGCCTTGTGTTTGCCACAAGCAAAGAAGGGTACTGCACGTTGGCTGCCGTGTTGTACCTTCTACCTTCATGGCAGCCAGTGGTTGTGTCTGTGCCTTCAGCTAGGAGTGTACTTCTTATTTACCGTAATGTTTGATGTTAGCATTAGGCATAAAGAGAAGAAGAAGTAATCCTCTGGGCCCTAGAGGCACCAGCTCTGAGATGCAGAGATGCCAGCAATGGAAGGAAAAAAAAGAAAGAGACTCCTGGAGGAAGAAGAACTATTTCAAACAGCCTTTCTAGTTTGCAGCTCTGCACAAGTGCCAAAATTGCACTTCCCCCTTGCAGGGATCCTGCTTTATTCTGATACCAGTAGCAAAAAGTTACTGGACTTCATTCAGAAGTAGCCAGTGGATATTTAAACTGGGAGAATCTGCTTTTAAAGTGAAGCTGCTTCAGGAGAGCACTGTTTTTGCTGTTTGGCTGGTGCTGGTGGGTGGGTATAACACTTAGGAACCTTGTTATAAACCATAACTCTGCTCTCTGAGGATGTCCTTGGAGGATTCTTCTCTGATGCTGGGTGTTTGCTTACTGACTAGATGTTGTAATGGTCAGGCTTGAAAAAACAGAGTGAAGAAACCCCACATCTACATTAACATTGAACTAAGCAACATGATTTAAGGCAGCACAGGGAAAGCTTCTTCAGAACTGAACTTAGATCTTTAAAATATATATATATGATTATGAAGGTTATTTGTATGGACTTGGCATATATATATAACTAAACTCAGATCTTGCTGGTAGTGTTTCACTTGAACTGTTAATAATTTGAAGGGCCACATGATAAAATTAAATGGTTTCAGTGTGAACGTCTGATTAAGTAAGAATGTTAGGGGATTCAAAGTGCCAGCAAGGCAGTGCAGAAGCTAGTTATTTGCAAATGCCTATTTTTCTAAACTGTTATAACTCTAGGGGAGATAAAGGGAGAAAGCAAATAACTACTGAATTTTATACTGAAACTTAACATAAAATTGGTGTATATCAGTAAGAAAGTCATAATGGCAAAAGGATTACTCTGCAGCATCCAGTCATTTTACCACCTATAATATGAGTATTTGCCGAAATGTTACCATCAGTAATGAAAACATTTTGAAAATCTATTTATGTGATTGAACTGAATCTATAAATCTATTTCTTCTTTAAACCAAGTAGGCAAAAGGATAGATTTCTTTCAAAAGTGATGAAGGAAAGTGGAATGAATGTCATCACTGTGTAAATGCGTCTTGTTGATGTCCTGGACACTGTTACCTGCTGTAGGGGATCAGGCTGTTGTGTGCCTCTCACTTGTTCCCATTTTCTCTTGCTTCAGCATTCAAGCCGTTTTTGCCATTGGAAATCTTTGTTTCTTAAAAACTAGAATGGGAACAAAAGAACAGAGAATAAAGAAGCATCTGTCAATTAGCTTCCTGTATTAGTACTTTGATCAGCAAAGCAGCGCTGTATGACTGTTAGCGTATAAATAAATGAAAGGCTGAATTCAATGGCTGAGCTTTTCTCTATTCAATATGCTTGTGTAACACTTATTAAATTTGTTTGGGGCATTGTTAATACATTTAGGAATATTGTTAAGCTCTGCTGTATTTATTTGTTTATTCGGTAGGCGGGATACAGACGAGTAACTGTTTTGAGGATGAGAGTAATTAACTTTGTATGTACAGGACCCTCTTGAGACGATTAAAATGGGAAGACATGCAAAAGCTTGTCTTTTTCTACGGGTGAAATGTAGAGTACTTACACTGTGTCGGCACAAGGAAGACTTCCTTAAATATGGAAATGTCATGTTTCCTGGTCTGGGAAGTAAGTACGGATGGGGCAGGTACTTAGCATGTACACGTGCTAAGAGGAACACGTGCTAAGTGTGTACTTGGCATGTATACACATTCTAAGTGTACGTGCTTAGCATAGTGTACACAACAAGGGGATTAATGTGTTAAAATATGGAATGGAACTTATTCTTTACAGTTCCTGCAGTCATTGCAGACAGAGGGTATTATCATTTACTTTCATATTTGCCTGGGAACTCTGTGCAGTGGCAATAAGCTATTTCCTCAGGGGTGGCTCACTTTTCTAATTACTGAACACATCAGTGCATCTGCTTTTGGTAGGGTCATTTGTATCTTGCAAGTAAATAAATGGTCTTCTGCTGGGTTATCTCCTAAGCTGTGTGAGCGTGGAGCCAGATGAGCACCATTGCCTGCGCAGAGGAGAGGAGCTGGTCCAGTCTGCTGGATCCATTTAGACCATTAGGCAAGTGCTTCTGGGCAGCTGGAAAAGCATCCAGTTACTCATTTTAGATCAGGAATATGATTGTGTTTGTTCTGCGCCTGGCCTGTTTGCTGTCCTGGCATTAAAAACTTGACCTCAAATCTTAATTCTCTCCCTTTATTTTGCTGTTAAGGTTCTATAGTTTTGTGAGGGAAAGGCTTGATGGGGTGCAGAAGATCACGTTTGGGTTGTTGGCTTCCTTGGAGGCAGTGAATCCGAGTGCGGTCCCGTGTGCTTTGTGCCCGTTGAGGCAGGTTTCTTTCCCGCAGTGCCCCAAGGAAGGGCAGTGATACCAAATATTGAGTTTTGGGAAGGTTTTCTGCCAAGAGCAGACAGGTGAAAGATGCCTTGTGGTTCTGAGCAAAATCATTAAACAATGGTTACATGTGATATTTTGGCTGGGAAAGCGAAATAGTATCATGTTCACATAACACGTGCTGTTGTTGACAGATATGTTTTAAGACAGCGTGATAAAAAGGCTCACTGTACTCTTCCTGGTGTGATAGTAGGAATTGAATCTTGCTCCAATAATATATGTATCATTTGTATTTGGGATCTGAAATAAAACCACTTTAACCTTCTTGGTGTCCTTTCCTATCTCCTCCTGAATTATTTCTTTCATCAGAGACAAAAGTTTCATGTTCCCTGTCATTTTCTAACCTCTTTACTTTCTTCAGGGTCCTGTCTCTTGGAAGACAGTTTTTTATTTTAGGGTGTTTTTTTTCAGATGGCTGTTAAGAAATATGACATATGTAGATCAAAGTTTCTTGGAAAACATGAATCTTAATACCCTTTTTATAGGGAAAGCTTTCAGGTACATTATTCTCTCGTTAACCTCTGCTGGAAATGGGTATTTGGTAACAGGTCAATCATTCCATTGCTGTCAGGTGTACGAAGATCTAGCATATAGAAAGCTGAACCTGGATAGCTTCAGTCTAAAAATAATTTTTAAATGAATGCTGTTGCCCTGTCTTAACAATTTCTGGCATGCTGTTGTTTATTCTGTACAGGTAAAGATGTTAACTCAAGGCTATGTGTTTACTAAGAAATAATAAAATTTGCTCTTGTTCAACTACACCCAACAGTCTCAAGGTGGTATCACAGTTTATCTCACCACAGTTTTTTGTAACTTCGAGAGTTCTGAATATGTTCTATAATCTTTGAGGGTAAAAGACTTGGAAAAAGTTGCTGGTTTTTGGACTGCATATGTAAAGAGAAAACAATTTGAAGACCAGATACTTAATCTGTGTTTTCACTTCTATAAGCATAAAACAATTTATTCATTAACAAATTAATAATTGAACAAATATAAGAAGTTTTGCAGCAAATCAATGTGAAGCTTGCTTCAGGTTTTGTAGTATTTTAAAGAAGTGATCGAAACCAGAAGAATCCTTTAGATGAACAGTTAATCTAAGTCTTTCAAAAGCTGATTGTTTTTTCTTTTTGTCCTCTACCAGAAGCAAAAGCCTAAAGCATTTATTTGTTAGTAAATATTATCATATTTAGGGTATTGACAGCACTTCCGTTTATACAGTAACAACTGTGACTTTGGGAATAATTTAAACTTATCTTTATTACTATTATTATAACAAGGATGGCATCTTTTGTAATTGCAGAAAAATAAATCCCAGTTTATAGAGCTATTGCTGTAACAGTTGTTATAGCATCTTTTGTAGTTGAAGGAAAATAAAACTGCAGTTGACAGCAATAAAATGTTCTGATATTTTCTCTTTTAGACGATGTATTATGCAAATATTGTGAGGGGTGTTTGCTGGGGTTTTTTTTAAGAAACTAAAACCCTGAGAATAAATTAAAAAATTAAAATCAGGCAGGGTATTTTTACTAGTTGAAAAAACATAAAAGCTAGAGTGTGTTTTAAATTTGTACATGTAAAAAGTAGTTAATAAATTGCTAATTATATGCTACTTTTGCTGTAATAAAGTTAACAGTTGAATTTTAGAATGGAAGATTTTGGTCAGGTATTTGTAGCTTGTTTGTCAACAGGTAACAGCTACATTCTGAGTGCTGTAAAGGAAAGGAAAAGTCTTACTAGTGTTGGGTAGGCTACAGCTGTGAATGGTGAAAACAACAGATGAACAGTATTTTCAGTAGTTCTTCCTTTTTGGAGTAAGTTTTTATATATATGATTCAACTTAAGAATAATTACTTTCATTCAGCTTTCATGATACATGGCTGCACTCTGTGCAGAGTTAAACATGTTATCTTTAATAGTGATGAAAGTTTACTTTAGATGTTCAAGGACTGGCTTCGTTGTACTTTGCATTTCTATGTCACCACATGGATTATTGCACTAAGTCAGTGCAGTGCTCATTCCTATCAAATGGCATCCCTGAAGTCATAAAACAGAAAACTAAGTGTCCAGTGTTTGGTAATATTGGGGTGGGAAGTTTTGTGTGAATTCCTCTTTGTTTATTACACCTATTAACTGCAGCCTCGGCTTTTACCCAGAACTACCTCAGTTACACGTTCTGCGAAATAGTAGCATTTGGTGTAGCCTGCCCACCGCGCTCGTTCCCTTCAGAGGTGGTGCTCGTGGTGGTAATGATGACTGTTGTTTCTTCTTAACAGCTGTGTGTTCAGAGGCACCCGTGCATGAGGAGAAGTTTGTTCTATGGCCTCAGAGCTGGGTGCCAGGGAGGATGGCAGCTGCTCAGAGCTGGCAAAACCCCTTTATCTGCAATATCTGGAGAAAGCTCTGCAACTGGATCAGTTTTTACGACAGACGTCTGCCATCTTTAACAGGAGTATATCCAGGTACCAAAAGCTGTTCCGTTTTCTGTTGGGAACACGAAGGAAAGACAAGCATTTTTATTATATTGTTCCCAGGCAACACCATTTTAAGGGCTTAGTGGTGACTCGTTCATTATAAGCTCTTCTCCTTTAAAGATTTTGCACTTAGCTCTCACTGATAATTCAGTGTGGTGCCAGCCCAGTACAAATTAGCACAATGTTGTAAAGCTCTTTCGTAGCTTGAGTGGCCAAAACTTTGTCTGCAAAAAGTAGGCTGAAGGAGCACTAAGTTGATTTTTTGGGCAGATGGCCTGTAGCCATATGTGAAATGCAAAGGCTGGTGTCAGATGCAGAATTTATATGCAAGTAAGTTGTAGCAATGAGAAGTGAGTCATCTAGGTACATTTAAGATCCACACAAGGAGCAGAAAAAGTATAGCTTTATATTTCTCACATATACAGTAGTGCTGAGGGTGGCAATATTGTGCTTTGGTTTGACCTTATATTAGTTCCTTGCTTTGTTTGTGCTTCTCAAATTAGGTACCAAGTAAAAGACTGAAGGTGCAGGTTGACAGTGTAGCCAGGCTGGTCTGATGATTAACTACTGTTGAGGGGTTAATGGGAAATTATTAACAGCAATATTTCTGTTGTGTAAAATGACATCTGAAGCTATCTCAGTTCTCAAACCTTCTGGCTAATGGCCACATGTAAGAAAGTTGGAAGACTATCTCCCCTTTTGAATATTTTCTTTTTTATTGTCATCTTATTATGTATCTTGTTGCAGCGATGAAAGTGAAGATGGATTGGATGACAATCCTTTGCTGCCTCAGTCTGGGGATCCCCTGATGCAAGTTAAGGAAGAGCCTCCAAACTCTTTGCTTGGGGAGTCTTCTGGAGCTGGGAATTCCGGGATGCTGAGCACACATTCCCTGAATGGAGTACTGCAGCCAGGTAGGGATGCACTGAGTTGAACCTCTGCTTTCTTTGGGATAAGCTGGGAAAAGCTCTATGTCTTAAGAACTTTATTTTATTTTTTTGTTAAACAGAACCAAAGTCTGAAAAAGGGAGCCTGTATAACTTTTCCAAACTGAAGAAAAGCAGAAAGTGGCTGAAGGTAAGAATGTGAGAAAGAAATGCAGCTTTTATGAAATCTGCGAGTAGAAATTCCAGTTAACTCCCTGTAGACAGTGGTGAGTGATTCTGTCTTGTCATCCGACATAGATCACAGTGTAGAAACACATCAGCAAGCAGATAGCAACAAGAAAATAAGTTGCACACTGGTCAGAGCATTATCAAACATTTTCACAAATACAATTTCCAAATACAGTAAGTTTACAGTAAGTTTGTTCTCATCTCAGTAGTTCATTTAATTTTACTTTACATGTGCTACTGAGAGCTCAGGAAGCTGGTCTAATGGGTTGTAGGAGCTGCCTTAAATGATGTGATGCAATTTAGTTAATGCAAAATCTCACACTGAAAAAGAGGCATAAGGTGATACAGAGTTGTGGTAACATTTTGTGTTGGTGAAAAGAGGGCTTCAACTGGATTCTTTAGTCTTGTTCTGTATTGGCTTGTTGTTTGCTGCACTGTGGTTTTTTGAGGTACCTGGAGCTAGTGTCCCTTGCTAAGAAAAAAAGAATGAGTGCATTTGGTGGTTTGGTTGGGGTTTTTTTTTTTTACGTTAAGAAAAAAACACTTAGCAAAGCAAAAAATACATTCTACAGAGGCTTCTTATGTTGGAAATGGAAAGAAAGAAGAGTGTGTGACAGTTGATAATGAATATTGTATTAGTCTTTGGGTAGAACAAAATAGAATTATAGTCCCTGTAGATCTGAGGTTTTCATTTTCTTTGTGTAGCAAAGTGGACAGTAAGGGGTTCAATTTGGGTGAGCAGCAGCATTTTAGTTAAATTTCACAGTGAGTATACATTCAGAAACTTAAAGTAATTTTAGTACACTGTCCAAATTAAAAAGAATTATTATGAAATATATTAAATGGACATTTGGGACTTGGATGAAAATTTGTTTCTAAAATGAACTCAGGATAACGTCCAAATGAGGATGGAAGGAGAGAGTGGAACGGTGGCTTTATGCCATCTTTGCATTTTCATTGTACTGTAGCCTTCTCTAGTTAGCAAAATCAGGTTGCTGAGAGGTCAGACAAGAGCCAAACCTGCTGCAACTGACGCAGCTGGAAGTGGTGCAATAGTGGGACAAGCTACAAATGGGGTAGGAAAGTACCTGCAACCATACGTGACAGAATGCCCCTACTGCTGTACTGGATTTTCTCACTGCTGCTTTTCTGAGACCACAAACAGACAAAGCAGGTTATAAAATAATTTCAACTCTCACCAAACTAAGAGAAAACTACCTCCCCCCAAATCAGAAAATGTGTATTGGATTGACTGCTACACAGTACTGTATCACGGAAAACTGTTTTCCATTTGAGGCATTTCAGATGGAAGACACTTTGTAAATGCTGAGTATTGTTGTTGGGCAAGACCCACAGCCCTTTATTAGATAAAGGCTCAAGAGTGCTTTGCATAAATAAACCAGTCAGTAGAGGGACTTGTGATTAAATTAGTTTCCATTTATTCTTGTTAGAGTATCCTTCTGAGTGATGACTCCAGTGACACAGATTCACCAAGTGATGAGGACGGAGAGGAAGAAGAAGAGTTTACTCTTTCAAGGGAGGAACTTCACAATATGCTGCGATTACACAAATATAAGAAACTACATCAAAGTAAATATAGCAAAGACAAAGAGGTAAAAATACAGAATTTTTGCACTTCTTTGATTTTTATTCTTTAACTGCATTGTTTTTACTGCTCTTACATTTTAATCAAAACCCATAATGTTTTGTGGACTGGAAAATATCCTGTTGTTTGATAGACCAGAACAGTCTAACGTCAGTTTCAGGAAAGGGTTATTAATTAATTACATACAGACTGAAGAGCCTTATGCTGAGAATCTGTCAATAATTTATGTAGCTAGTACTGGCACATGTGTTACATGTAGCTTGCACAATGCTCTGTCCCAGTCACTATAACAAATATAGGGTGCTAGAACTCAGGATTTGGTAATATATATGAAAATTGAGGTGCTGTGGGTTAAATTCTAATACAGGTAGTAGCTGCTGATCAAGGCTAAACATGCGTATTTAAACCTAAAGCAGTGTACTTGCATAAGCATTGAGGTGACGAGTAGTAAAGTGGTGCTTACCTTCTAGAAAGGGAGTTCCTAGATTTCTTCCTTATTGTTTTCTGTCATTCTTTGGGGTTTTACTTGACTTTCTTTTGTTTATTTCTTACCTTTCTTTTATATTTTGGATTTTCATCTCTTATAATAAAGTAGTCTGCTGCATTTCTGTGTTTTTCTCAATATTATACCAAATTCTAGGACTGTTTTCATTCTAATAATACATTTCTTCCAATAATTAGAGATCTTGCAGAAATTATTTTCATTGCTGTTTTGAATTGCACCAGAAAGTAGTCTTAGATAAAGGATAGCAGAATCCTATTCTGCTATCAGAGGATGTGTCTGAAATTAAAATTTGCCTTCTGTTTCCTGTTTGAAATTTCTCCAGAAGAGTGAAGAAATATTTTCCCATCGAGTTCTTTGCTTCTGTCCACTTCTTTCCTTTTTTTACTTGTTTAATTCTAGACCAAGATTATATTAACTTCTTGAAATATAACATAACTGCACAATTGTACACTTAATTTTTCCACAGGTCATAACTTCTGTTAGATTTTACATAAATATTTATTTCCAGACTAGTAAGAAATAATATCCAGTGGAAATAACCAGGGTATTGTCAGATCAGCAGTACACAGTTGTAAGGGGGGGAAACACATCTGTCCAAAAAAATTTGTTCTCACCTTTCAAAAATCTTTTATTAACTTAATAGTATGCTTAGGTTTTAAATAGTTAATTTCTGACCTGTACTGCCTTTCATTTGACTGTTTATACATAATATAGTGTATAGTTCTTTAATATTTTAGTTGAATAATGCTTAGAATTTGTTGAATTTTTTGTTAATTTGGAAAAAAAGTGCTGAGGCAGCTGTATTTGTACTTTACAATCTGAATGTTGAAGTTGTTTGTCCTTGTGAAAATCTTTTAAATGCCTTTTATCTAAACCTGTCCTTCTGCATCCACTGGAATGATAAGGTAGAACACGTATGTCATTTGGGAATGCAAGCAAAACTTATAGGAGGTCCATGATTGGACCACCTCGTGTGAGGTTGGGGTCTTTCTGGGCAGCACCGCGATGGAAAAGATAACGCAGTGTGTTTTGAAAGTGTAAGCTTCACTGCCCCCTCTTCCCATCTTATTAACTGAGGGGGCTTGGCTCCTTGTGTAGAACTTGGAGGCCACCTCAGGGAGCAGTGGTTTTGCTTTGGACACTGTATGATCCTTGATAACAACGCTACATATGGAGAAGTGCATGTTTTCTGATCTCTTGTGTGTCATCAAGATCTGAACTTGTTTACCTGCTGTCTCTGTTATCTGCTATATCTGTTTTCCATTACTGTGCTCATTTGCATCCCCTTCAGCTGCAGCAATATCAGTACTACAGTGCAGGACTGCTGTCTACGCATGACCCTTACTACGAGCAGCAGCGCCACCTGATAGGGCCCAAGAAAAGGAAGTTTAAAGAAGAGAAAAAATTAAAAGGTAAAGTCACTAACCTTGTGTTTCTAAATGGCTGCTGCGATTAAACTTTTTTTCCTACATTATTTCCTTTGAATAACCATAAATATTCAAAACTTCTGGGTTTTGCATGGAAATAACCAGTTCTGTCAAAGAGAAATTCTTCAGAAAATACTGTACTTTATCTTCTGGCTTCTGGAAAGCTAGGGTGAAAAAAAGAATGCAAATCATGGCTCTAGATTTTTTTTGTAGACCTTTGAATTCAGAATGAAAGAGAGTTATGCTGTAAGTACCTTTCAGGTTTATTCATTGCTTCAGAATCCATAAGTACCATTGTGCATCATGGTCCATTTACTCAGAGTTTTTTGAAGACACAATAGTTTCTTGAAAAAATGTACGAACTTACCCAGTACCTGATGCGGTTGTTCTGGAATAGGTAATTCTAGTGAACCAGAAATGATAGGGACTGAGAGTGTTTTCTGGAAATTAGAGGGAGCTCAGAATTGATGTCCAATGTGAGTTAAAATAGAATTACTTCTGTAACCTCTCAGCTGGAGTTTCTCAGATGCATGTTTGCCAGGAAGTACAGTTTCCTTTCTTGATTGAGCTGGCATCAGCTATAAATCTGTAAGGAAGTAGGAAAAAAGGCTATGAACTGTCAGCATAAGGTGAATTCTCTCTAGTGCAAGTACTTAGGTTTGAGCTGTGTTTTAAGGAGGCTGTTTTGGGCTTCCATCCTTCCTTCCTTCCTATCTTTTTGCAAGTTGCTTTAACTGTTTGTTTTGAGTTTTTTTCCTCCACTAATGTTGCGGCATCCATGATTTTGCATACTCACAAGTAATATTTTTGATATCTGATATCAGTACCAGTTTCCTCTGAAAGCTGGTGTCTGTAATATATGGTAACATGCCAGTCTCTTTTGACTGCTGAGAAGTTTGGTTTGGGATTTATCCTATCAAAAGCTAATGTTGTTACCTTTAAATGTGCTCCCTTTACATGTCTTTAAGTAGAATTTTACTACCAAACAAGAAACGTTGCATCAGGTCCCAGACGTTTTAACACCCAAAGCATGTTTCCCTGCATGGAAAAAATGCATTTCACCACTCTATTTATTAAACAGGAAAACCATTCCAATATAAAGTGTTGAGGAAATATCTAATATGATAAATGGATGCTAGCAGAATTGGCAAATGGGGATAAGTTTAGCTTTTTTGTTGGTTCCACACATAAATTGACTAAGATAGGTAACTTGTGAAACATACTTGACTAAATGTATCCCAAAAATAGAAAAAGAAATTGATTTTTATGATTGTTGTTGCCATGCAGGCAAGTTGAAAAAAGTAAAGAAAAAGAGGAGACGGGATGAAGAACTCTCTTCAGAGGAGTCGCCACGACGCCACCATCACCAGACCAAAGTTTTTGCCAAGTTTTCTCATGATACACCACCACCTGGGGCCAAGAAAAAGCATTTGACTATCGAACAACTTAATGCACGTCGGCGGAAAGTGTGGCTTAGCATTGTTAAAAAGGAATTGCCAAAGGTGAGCTTGGCTAATGGTTCTACATCTGTGATGGTGGCAAGAAAGGGAAATAGAAAATTAACTTAGGGGGGAGTTGACACTTGGAAAAACAGAGTGAAGTAAGACCTTATTTTTCATTAATGACCAAACATATTCTGTAATCTGTAAGCAAGGTGTAGTTTGAATTTCTTCACCAGTGATTTGCAGTGCTTTGTCACTGCTTTTATTTGGCTGTCCAACCCTTTCCTGTGAATAGTGCGGTGAAGTCTAGCAGGTACTCCTATAATCTACGGGATAGCAATGTAGAGCAAACCAATATCTAGGTTTTAAATAAAGTTCAGGGAAGGAGTGTTTCAATCATTGCAGCATGTGTGTTTTTTGAAGCTTATTTCAGAAGCACTCTAGGGAAAAGCATTTGCAATGCATTTACACATATTTGCAATAGAAAGCTGAGTTTGCTCTTTCTAGTTTTCTGAGGTGTGATCAGAGTGGACCTTACCAACCTGCTTCTTGGAGTTCACAGTTAACAGACTTTGAATTCTAGGAAGTTGCTTATGAGTGATGGCTGTAGTATCCTTAATGAACTTCTAAGCCAGACAAAGGATATGTGCCGTGTGATAGACCTTATTTTTTCAGAAGACTGATTTTGATCACGTGAAGAACATAAGATCTACATTAATTCTGAATGTCTTTGGGAAACAGTGGAAATTTTTGTTGTTTACTTCAGTGATAACAGTGGAATATGAGAACCCTGCTTTGCAATAGTAGTAGCTAAAGAAACAATCCCGAAAAAGGAGCTGTTTTATATGATTCCTTCAGGAGTTGGAATACATTTATGTATGCCTTCAATAATTAAGAACGAAAAGCTATTTCAGTCAAAACAAAAAATAGTTACAGTACCTGTACCCAATTATACAATAGTGTGCTGAGGTTGGCACATATATCTGCTGAAGACTGGATTGTGATCTTTTAAAATACTGTGAATCTATTACCCTTTAACTAATTTTAAGATGGTGTTCTTTTATAGGCATACAAACAAAAAGCCTCAGCCCGCAACCTTTTCCTAACCAACAGCAAAAAGGTAAGTGTTGTAGTTTAACTTTATACTGTTACTTGATGTAATAAGCAAACTGTAACCTCTTTATATTTCTTCTGTTTCTTGTACTAGCAGGGCAGTGTTGGAGAAAGTCCTGTATAGAAGTAATTTGTCATTTGATATAAGGCTTTTCATCTTTTAGATGTGTCATTTTGCTGTGATTCATAAGCAACAGATGAAATGAGCAACACAAATTTCTTCCATGGGATCTTTTTGGATTGCATAAGATGTACATTTTTAATTTACTGATCTTTGATATAATAAATTAATGAGTTCGGTAGGCTTTGTTGGCTTTTGAACTGCCCCCCGCTAGCTAGAATTTACTGGTTTAAGCATTCTTGTTTAAATCAAAGAATTTTGATTTAGAATATTAAGTGTGTTAATTTACATAAATATATATAGGAGCTGAGATTAAAAATAGAACAATTTTCTGCTTAAGTGATTGCAAAAGGAATTTATCTCCTCATCACAGTCTTCTCTGAGAAGCGTCATTGTTTCTGCCTAGAAGGCTTTACTTTAGGAACACTTGGTAATGGCTTTCTGAGCATTTTCCAAGTGTTGCTACACCCAAGTGTCTGATTCATTTATATAGCTAATGAAAAGGTAATCGAGTATATGGCTGAGAATCATCAGAGACAAGATGAAGTAGGAAATTTTCCATCCTGTATATACTTTATCAAGAAAGGGAGTATTTTCTGTGTAAGGGATGCAGAAAACAGGACCTGCACATACATATTTAAGAAACTTTCTGTAAATAGTTCCTCTGCTGTCACCCTCCATAGCTAGCAGAGAGCAGATTTCTTTGTGGTGTTTGTGCAAATAGCCTGTATTTGGAGGTGTCACAAACTGCTTTTTAGCAAGTGAGTGATGCAGCAGACTTAGAGGTTTTGAAATTCCACTTTTTTGTGTGTTTTGTTTTCGTTTTGTTTGATCATTTGAAATCTGTATGTTAGAATTGTTGATATGCAAATTTTAGTGGAGGAAAAAAAAACAAGTTTTCGTTTTGTTTGATCATTTGAAATCTGCGTGTTAGAATTGTTGATGTGCAAATTTTAGTGGAGGAAAAAAAAAACCTGTCACAAACATCAAACCCAGCAATTTTGTCCGTTATGACAATGGTGTTAATTTATTTATACTAGAACAAAAAATTACATTGTGTTATGCTTATTCATGAGATGTTAGGAAAACTGTAGAGGGTACTGCTCCACTTTTGAGTGTATTAACACGTGAGTGGGATTGTATTCCACCAATACTGCTGTTGTAGCAGCCTTATTAAAACAGTGAGAAAGCGTGGGGTACCACAGAAGAGGGTCTAGAGTAGGTGAGGCAGAGTTGGAGGCAGGTCTTGGACTCTGGTTTCCTGAGTCCCTTTCAAGGACCTACCCATCAGATCAATCCTTGAAGTACCATGCCACATGGAACTGACTTCAGCTTTTGTCTTCTCTGCCATCTCAGGAGGTTTTTGGAACTTCTTGTTCTCTTGTGCCATTTCACAAGTGTTACTGCTGAGTCAAATATCACAGTTTTTCTCTTCTGAAGGATCAGGCTTGGTAGTAATTAAATTTGGTGGTGTTTATGGCTGGCTTTCTTGAAACTCTGCCCATTTTACCACTGTTTCTGAAATGTTATTTCACTCTAGCTTGCCCATCAGTGCATGAGGGAGGTCCGTCGAGCTGCTATCCAGGCCCAGAAAAACTGTAAGGAAACTTTACCACGAGCGCGTCGTCTTACCAAGGAGATGCTTCTCTACTGGAAAAAGTATGAAAAGGTGGAAAAAGAACATCGCAAACGAGCTGAGAAAGAGGCTCTGGAGCAGCGCAAGCTGGATGAGGAGATGAGAGAGGTACGGCAAAAGCACGGTTTGCTGATAATTAATCTGAGGGGATACAGAAACATCTAGATAATTTGAGTTTCTAAATCCAGGCCATGAATGAAAATGCATGAATGAAATGGAGGAAGGGATTAGACAAGCAGCGTGTCTCAGACATATGTAACTCAGTGTAATAAGTGCCAGGCTTTTGTGATAGTTTCATCATTCTGGGTCCAGACGGCAAACCACCTTTTCATTCGCATTGAGGTTTTTTTTCTCTTCCCCCCCCTAATTTATATATGGGGCACGGATTTTTTTCTGTGATTACTTTCTTCGTTGGGCAAGTGATGGCTTCATGGACTCCCATGCAGAGTAACAGGGGTTGAACTTAAGAAAATCTTTCTTGCCAAAGCTCTCTAGTGGATTTATGGTTGTTATCTTACATGTGTGGTGATGAGCTAAGGTTGAATCTTTAGAATACCTTAAGTTTAGTTTTGTGCTCAGATTATGCTTTTATTTATTGTGTTTCTCTCATTCTTGCAAGTTTCTAAGCATTTTGTGAATGTTTCAGCTGACTTAAATTGAGAGTTAACCTTTAACTGCAGCATTTTTTAACCAGAAACTGAGAATGAACGGAGTTTCTGCAACGTCTTGCTGAATCCTGAACTACAATAATATCTCAGCTGTATTACCTAGTGACACATTTCATTTCATTTATTATTTCATTTCATTTATTATTTCATTTCATTTATTATTTCATTTCATTTATTATTTCATTAATTCCCTTTACTAGTAAATAATTGAATGTTGGAATTAAGCTGTCATGAGATGTTTTTTAGCTGTTCAGTTCTTTTACTGTAGACCACTAAAATCCTGTTTAGTTTTGTCAATCTTTTAATTTTCAGTGTAAACAAAACCTTTAAACTTTCTATTAGATTATGGTGTTCTTTGCCATGATTTCTGAACTTAAAAGAACTTTTCACTTACAGCAATTCAGTATTTTAATATAGGTGTTTATGGTGGTGGTCAGTGTTCTTTTGGGCAGCTTGTATTCTAGCATTTTGGTATCACAGTGATGTGCATAATAGAATCTAGACAGATTTGTCGTTGCTATATTATTAGATCAAGGTTTTTTTTCCTTAATTATATTTTAAACATTAAACCTTTGCCTTGTGGATTTTCTTTTCCCTTTCATCTGTTTTTTTGTAAACGATCTTCTTTTAGGCTAAGAGGCAGCAGCGAAAACTTAACTTCCTGATCACACAAACTGAATTATATGCCCATTTTATGAGTCGTAAACGAGATATTGGACATGATGGAATACAGGAGGAAATCCTACGTAAACTGGAAGACAGCTCTACCCAAAGGCAGATTGATATTGGTGGAGGAGTTGTGGTCAACATCACCCAAGAAGTTTACGGTAAGCGATTCATCTACAATCCTTCCTGTGCACTGTTTTGAAATTTACTGTACGCTGCATGTTATCATGCAAACTTACTATTTCAAGCACAAAATCTTTCTATGCAAGAAGCACTACTATAATTACTGGAATTTACCTATGTGTTGATTTGGGTGGTTACTGCTGCAGAGCTCTAACACAGAAATGTTGTTTTCAGATAGTAACTATTACAAGGCCCAAGCTCTGAAGAACGCTGAGGATGCTTACCAGATTCATCAGGCCCGGGTATGTATTTATTGCCACTTTCTGTGCTGAACAGATAGAAAATCAGAATGTAAAGATTCGGGCTCTAGGAACAAGTGGGTTTTTTTCCTGTTAGTTTCTGGCAGACATGCTGTGTCTTAATGTGAAGTGTAAAGCCTTTTATTCTACAGTTTCTTGATAAATTAACATGTTCATCATCTTATGCATACTTTCCTCTTCCTGTTTAGACCAGATCATTTGATGAAGATGCAAAGGAGAGTCGGGCAGCTGCTTTACGGGCTGCGAACAAGTCTGGTACTGGCTTTGGAGAGAGCTACAGTTTAGCAAACCCATCTATCCGGGCAGGAGAAGATATTCCACAGCCTACTATTTTCAATGGAAAACTAAAAGGTTACCAACTGAAAGGCATGAATTGGCTGGCCAACCTATATGAGCAGGTATCTTAGTACATCTTGCAAATTTTTAAAACTTACAGGATTATTTAAGTCACTAGAGTAAACTTGGTCAAAAAAATGTAATTGATTTAAAACTATACGTTCCATGTATAGTAAATCTGGAATGTATTTAGAAGAAAGGAAAATGTTATGTAAGCCACCTATCAGTATCCTTGATTATTTAGGAAATAACAACTTTGAATGGGGCATTAAGTCCAAGATTCTTTACGTGGCTGGTTTTACAACTGTTTTATCAGTTAGATTATACACTGAGGAAACTTTTGCCTGCTGGCAGGTGCATACTGTTTTGGATTTGGTCAGCTGGTAAAGTGCAGGCAGACTTGCCCTTGTGGGCATACCCAGTTGGCAACGGGATTGCAAAGTGCAGACAGACTGAGGATAAAAATCAGCCCAAGAAACGAATGAAAGCACGATTGAGATAAATTATCTTAGTAGAAGATGTAAGAGACAATAAGGTGTTTCAGAGTTGTTACGCTAGAGCTGCTCCCCCCAAATTCAGTGGTAACCCTTCTGCTAGTTCTGTATGGATTAAAAAATAGTGAGGTGAAGGGTGTTCATTTATGGATCTTTTGCAGGGTATCAATGGAATCCTGGCAGATGAAATGGGTCTGGGTAAAACAGTACAAAGTATTGCTCTCCTTGCACATCTGGCTGAGGTAGGTGGATTAAAGCTTCTTCCTGGTCAGTATGCTTGACAGAAGATGCAAGCTTTTCACGTGTTTGAAATTAATTATAAAGCTTAAATGCCTTAAAAGACATTTTAGCTGTGGCATTTCCCTTTTTTTAAAGCTATCTTTGAAAGGGTGTGTGTGTATGTAAATACTTATGTGTGTGTGTTTATATAAGTAAGAACAGTACAAAGTATTGCTCTCCTTGCACATCTGGCTGAGGTAGGTGGATTAAAGCTTCTTCCTGGTCAGTATGCTTGATAGAAGATGCAAGCTTTTCACGTGTTTGAAATTAATTATAAAGCTTAAATGCTTTAAAAGACATTTTAGCTGTGGCATTTCCCTTTGTTTTAAAGCTTTACCTTTGAAACGGGGTGTGTGTATGTAAATGCTTATGTGTGTGTGTTTATATATGTAATTATATATAAATAAAAATGGAATTTTCATTTATTCACAGAGTAGCACCTTTTCACTTGCACTTAATGTGAAAGCCTGATAAGAGAACAAGTTGTAGACTTGTACAAATGAAGCCCAAATTCTGAGCTTCATGGCAACCTGTGGATTTCCATATTTGTGGGGTTTTTTTTAGGAAGAATAGTTAATCTTCTGTGCCAGGGCAGACAAACCAAACAGAAAAAGCAACAGGAGTTTCTTTCTTTATGCAGAAATAGATATCTTGATTTAAAAAAAAACAAAACAAAACAAAAAAAGCCTTGATTGGTATCCAGTCACTTGCCTTAAATAGGAGAGATCAACCAAGTGATACTTGTGTGTGTATGTAAATACTTATGTGTGTGTGTTTATATAAGTAAGTATATATAAATAAAAATGGAATTTTCATTTATTCACAGAGTAGCACCTTTTCACTTGTACTTAATGTGAAAGCCTGATAAGAGAACAAGTTGTAGACTTCTGGTTCACTGACTTTTACAAATTAGAGAGACTTGTACAAATGAAGCCCAAATTCTGAGCTTCATGGCAACCTGTGGATTTCCATATTTGTGGGGTTTTTTTAGGAAGAATAGTTAATCTTCTGTGCCAGGGCAGACAAACCAAACAGAAAAAGCAACAGGAGTTTCTTTCTTTATGCAGAAATAGATATCTTGATTTAAAAAAAAAAAAAACAAAACAAAAAACAAACAAACCAAAAAAAGCTTTGATTGGTATCCGGTCACTTGCCTTAAATAGGAGAGATCAGCCAAGTGATACCGAGAGCAGATCTAGCAGCAGTAGTGACCAAATGACAACTATGTGCATTTGTTTATGTTCCTTTTGGTACCAGTTCACTGGTACCAGTATCAGCCACCCACTGGAAGAGTGCGCAGAGCTGAGGTTTCCTCCCCAAAATGACAGGGACTGCTAGTGATGGGAAGGTGGCAATTTTCAGAAACAAAGGAACGAGCCAGATTTAAAGAATGGTGGTTGTTCTGGTTTGCTGTTACGAAATAAGTCCTAGTTAAACATTAGATCTTTTCTGTTTGATTTCTGTATCAGAGGGCACCCTAATATGATGTTACGGAGCAAAGCTTGCCAGTGCCACCTGAAGTTCTTTTCCTCCCCAAAATGACAGGGGCTGCTAGTGATGGGAAGGTGGCAATTTTCAGAAACAAAGGAACGAGCCAGATTGAAAGGGTGGTGGTTATTCTGGTTTGCTGTTACAAAATAAGTCCTAGTTAAACATTAGATCTGTTCTGTTTCTGTTTCTTTCTGTATCGCCCTGCTGTGCTGGGAGGAGGTTTTGTTACATTGCATATAGTTTCCTCTCGTATGTAGCCACTGTCATGTAGTAGTTGTAAAGCTGTATCAAACTGTCTCTATGTCCCCTCCCTGCGATTAATTCCTGTGTGTGTGGTTTTTTTAATATGTATATTCCAGAGAGAGAACATCTGGGGACCTTTTTTAATAATTTCACCTGCCTCTACTCTTAACAATTGGCACCAGGAGTTTGCCAGATTTGTACCTAAATTTAAGGTAATAAGCATGTGCAAGAAATTTATTTCTGTATTCTCAAAAGCAAACTGTTTTGTTCTCCTGAGTTTGTTGCCACATCTGGATGCCTAATTCTCTTGGAATTTGAAACTCTGTGATGGGCTTGATTCTGATTTTTTTTTTTCTGTCAGCGTGTTTTTTCTGGAGCATTCAATTATCTAGTGTTTAAAAATGTTCTTACTTGAATCATACGATTTTCCTTTTTGCAACAGCTTGAAGACACTTTCTCAGTAAGGAATTGAAGTGTGGCAGGGAGTGGATGTTCAGTTCTAATGTGTGGGCCTGGCAGCAGATACAAGAATAATATTTCAGTCTTATGTACTGTCCTTAGAGTTAGAGCAGTGTCTTCAGTCATTCACATCAATTCGGATAAGATGAAGATTGTATGTGAACAGAACTGAAATCTAAACAGATTAGAGGGAGAGAGAATGCAGTTGTTACTATAGAAAAGTAGAACGATAGACATACAACCAGTAATCAAGAAAAAGGAGAGAAGTGAGGCACAAATAGATAAGAGCAAAAAGATTAGGAGAAAGTAAATGGAGTGCTTCAGGTATATTGTGCATGTGAAAACATAGTAAGGTAGAAAGGAAGGAGCAATCAGTTACTGAAGAGCATGCTGCTTACGTATTACCCAGTGGAAAAAAATGGTGTATTGCAAAGGAAGCTTAGAAAAGAACATGTGCTGTTGAAACACTGCTGAAATTTTAGAATTAGAGAGACAGAATCGTCAGAAGCTTATAGCTGTTACATCTGCAAAGAAGAATAGGTTATAGTTTAAATATTTGAGTTGTTAATGTCGTTGCCTTTGATATGAAGAGGTCTTGATAATTTTTTTTTAAATCTGTTGAAACACTGCTGAAATTTTAGAATTAAAGATAGACAGAAGCATCAGAAGCTTATAGCTATTACATAGCTATAGAATAGACTGTTGAAACACTGCTGAAATTTTAGAATTAGAGAGACAGAATCGTCAGAAGCTTATAGCTGTTACATCTGCAAAGAAGAATAGGTTATAGTTTAAATATTTGAGTTGTTAATGTCGTTGCCTTTGATATGAAGAGGTCTTGATAATTTTTTTTTAAATATCTGATTTTCTATTTTACAGAGAAAATTTAAGAACAGTAAAAGACACCTAGTTATAAGTAGCTAGTATACCAGTAACATCCAGGCTAATTGTTTTAAATTCTTAGCTTACTTAATGAGTTGGAGGAAAAAACTTGGACGTATTATTTGATTTCTTGATCTGGGGTACGGCAGTGTTAAAGGACTTGCCTTTTACCAAATAGCTTGCTCTGCAGATCCCTGGTGAGACCCTGTGTTGGTTATGGTGGTGTATAGTTTGAGGTATCTGGATGAGGAGAAGTGCTAGAACACAGTTCAGTGCTGCATGATTCACGTGTCTTATATTTTGGAATAATTTGGGATTACTGAGACTTTAAAAAAACTGATGAAGAAATAGAAATGCTTAAGTTAGTGAGGAGTTACTTTAAAAAAAAAAAAAAGCAATTAAAGACTTTAAAAAAACTGATGAAGAAATAGAAGTGCTTAAGTTAGTGAGGAGTTACTTTTAAAAAAAAGCAACTAGAAATAAACCATTAATGTATTTGCATAGCCCATAACAATGGGGGTCCTGGTTAACTACCCTGGAGTAGAAAACATTAGAGCAGCTGGCCATTCTACCTATTTATTCTCTCATATCCTTTAATTCATTGCGTAGAATAGGCGAGCCACTGCTTATGCTTTCTCCTTCTCATGAATGAAATACAGAAAAAGTTTCAAAAATGCAGTCAGGATGCTTATAAAAAGATAATTTTCTGGGTTTTGATCACACAAAAAGAAGCTGTTTCTGTAATTATGTTGCTGCTCTTTGTGTTTATTGCATAATAATGTTTACCTTATCCATGGAACAGAACCCTTTTTAAAAACAAGTTTTCTAAACTTGATTGTTATGTGTTTACAACTTGGAGCAATCTTTTTTCAACCATCTAATCATACACGGGTGCTTCTAATAATACAGAAGTGTGTAGTCAATAAATCACAGCAGATTAATTCATACACGGGTGCTTCTAATAATACAGAAGTGTGTAGTCAATAAATCACAGCGGATTAATTTCTTCAGGTCCATGGCAGAATATGCAAACTAAAAGGCAAATCACTTTTTGGGTTAGTCTGCCCTTTTTTTACTAGCATCCTTATTGCGCAACAGTGGGAAGAATGTTCAGCTAAAGGCATTTTGAAATTTGGAGCTTGTCAGGTAAAGGATCGAGATGTTTAAGATGTTCGGCAACCTCACAAACCGGCATTCCTCACTGAGTTGAGGGTAGTCCTTTCAGCAGGCAGAAGATGGCAGTGCAGTATTACTAACCAGTAACTGCACTGCAAAGATCTGTGCTGAGTAATAGGACCCAGGAAATTCTGAGCTATAAGTGGAAGGGTCAAGATGTTTTAAGATGCTTGGCAACCTCACAAACCGGCATTCCTCACTGAGTTGAGGGTAGTCCTTTCAGCAGGCAGAAGATGGCAGTGCAGTATTACTAACCAGTAACTGCACTGCAAAGATCTGTGCTGAGTAATAGGACCCAGGAAATTCTGAGCTATAAGTGGATTAACAGATTTCTTTGGCAGTACTACTTACTTTTTAAAATTCTTATACTAAATATGTCCAGGCCATAATTTAGCTTTATTTTGGATTTCTGGGGACAGTTCTGAAATACAAAACCAATGGGATAACAGGGAATGTTAAACAGGAGAACGAGCCCACTAGTCCTGTAGGGTTTACTGTAGACCTCTTTCTGCCATGAGCAAAGTATCATTTTTAATTTTTAGAAAAAGTTGACTAAGAGGTGTAATGTGCTACTGGGTATTTTGAAATTTTCACCATAGCTGGATCCAGTCTTTGCTCTAGGCATAAGTTGCTTGATACCTTTGCCTGGAATGCTCTAAGTACTTTTTAAGTGGTTTATCATTTTTCTCTGTGTTAAGAAAGATAATTTCCCTTTTTGTTGTATTGGAGAAAGAGGTCTGTATTTCTCACTTTGTGGAATACTTAGTATAAAATTCTAGAGCTAGATTAAAATAAATATCTTTATTTGAAAATAATGTTTTTCTACTTTTGTGCTGTTCCAGGTGCTACCTTATTGGGGAAATCCTCACGATAGAAAGGTGATCAGGAAGTTCTGGAGTCAGGTAATAACAACACACCCATGTGCTTCAACCATTTTTGTTATTTGCAAAGAGTAAACCACAAGCTATTGCTACACCTCAACAAGCTAAATGATGTGTAGATAGAGAATTCTGCTTCTTCATCCATCCATCATGTAGTAGCATATTCATTAAGGTAATGAGGTAGAAAGCTTCTCCTCTGCTGGAGAGCAATATGGTGCAAGGCAATTCAGGGCAGTATGGAGTTTGGTTGAAGGAACTAGAGCTCTGTAAATAAGGCAGGAAGTTTCAGTGTCAAGGACTGTTTATTCTATTTGAGTAACCAACTCAGGATGCCCAAGTCTAGCATCCCTGCAGGCCTGTCAGATTGTTCCTGATTTAACAGCAGCATTTTGCAGGGTTCAATGCCTGGGTCTTGTCTGGCATGCTAAGAAGCATCTGAAATTGTTCAGGGACTAATGGGCTGAATTCCAGATCCACCAGTTGAATAACCATGCTGTAATTAATTAAAAAAGTCAGCTGGGGAAAAATGCAGTAATAATGACAAAAGATTATGAAACAGAAGTCTGAAATTACAGTTTACACAAGTGAACTCTTCACAATGTATTTACATTATGTGGACATTTGTTTCTTATTTTTTGGTTATAGAAGACATTATACACTCAGGATGCTCCTTTCCATGTGGTGATCACCAGTTATCAGCTGGTAGTACAGGATGTGAAGTATTTCCAGCGAGTGAAGTGGCAATATATGGTGCTGGATGAAGCTCAAGCACTCAAGAGTAGCTCCAGGTAACAAATTAACTGGAAACAAAATCTTCCCTCTCTATCAGCCTCTTGAAGGAATATCCAGAAAACATCAATATTACACAAACTGATGGAAGTTTAAATTGACCCGTTAAGTGTCTAACCTAAGTATCTCTATAATTCTGTGACACTGGATTGATCCATTAGGTTTTTGCACTTACATTTTCCTTCTCCAAATATGTAATTAAAAAGTAGTTGTGGAGCAGAAACTTAGATGGAGCACAGGACAGTTAAACAAAACAGTGTGAAATGCTGTTCACCTTCCTTCCTCATAGAATTCTGCCTAGTGAACAGTCCCTAGTTTTCAGTGTGTTATTGCTTATATTGGCTCTGCTAAATGCATTATTTTGATTCCTTCTTCAGTGGCACTTCCAGACACAAATGAAGGTCAGAACCCTGTGAATACTCTTGGCTGCAATAAAGCCCAATCTTTGTCAGAAGACTCTGTGCCAGAAAGTTTTCTAATTGTTTTCAAGTAATAGATTTGTCCGTCTTTACTTCTGTAATTGCTTTCCCATAACCTTTGCCCAAGTTGCCACTGTAGGCATTAGGTTCAAGACCGCTTTAGATGTGGGCTCCTTCTAACAGAAGTCTGTCTCTTCAGCATTCTTTGGAAACTGCCCCTCTAGGAGGACAGCAGTGTCTAGCTCAGTGCTCCTGCCACAGAGGCCCATGCACATAGTGTTACAATGTCTGAAAAATATGTGGTGTTCTGGTTCGTAGTAACTGTTTCTTTTGGGAAGTTAATTATTCTAGTGATGAGCTTTTATAAGTATCCAAGCATTTGTATTAAAAATGAGGAAAAGGATACTTAGAAAAATAATATAAATTGCACGCATTTCTTTGTAACTTGAAAAGGCTACTTCTTCCTCTAATTGTCTTTTGAAAGACTGGGCAGTAGCTGTGATAGTTTCACCCAGTGACCTCCAGAAGTCATTTGGGAAGGTCACTGGAAGCAATTGGTCTTAAAATACCTTATGTTTTATATCCTTGTACAAAAAAACAGTTTTAATGACTTTTCTTAATTTTATTCATCAGTGTTCGTTGGAAGATCCTACTACAGTTCCAGTGTCGAAATAGATTGTTGTTGACTGGGACCCCAATCCAGAACACAATGGCTGAGGTATTCGGGAGCTCACGAGAGTGGAATTTTCTTTATAAAAAGAATGTATACTAAATACACGTGAACAGTTGAGAAACCTGTCATGTTTGGGTGGTTGTGGAATTATGCTTGTAGCAAACCACTGGCAAACAAACATGGAATCAGCTCTGGCAGGGGAAAATTTGGAAATGTGCTGTGCATTCAAATGAAAATAAAACTTAAGATACCTGATAGTTAGTAATACCTAGATTACAGGGTGAAATCTAATTCTTGTGGCATTTCCTTCTGTTGGCTGAAATAATTGTGCTGAGTTTCTCATGGCTTTTGAAGAGTGTTTATATCAAATGCCAGTTGATGTATCTGGCATTTGGGGAGGGGTGGGAAGAGGATGCGACTGAGATTTTGTTTAATTTTGCCATATCTCATGGTCTGGTAAAGTGATTTTGCTCATAAAGAGCTGCAAGGGTTTGGGATCCCCAATTACCTTGTCCACTGTAGGGTGACTTTTGCTCATCTGCTGTTTTCTCCTCTCCTTTTAGCTGTGGGCCCTGCTGCATTTTATCATGCCAACACTGTTTGATTCCCATGAAGAGTTCAACGAGTGGTTTTCTAAGGACATAGAGAGCCATGCAGAGAACAAATCTGCCATTGATGAGAGTGAGTGCAGGCTGTAACTGCAGTAGTTTTTATATTAAAAATCTGTTGCCTTTTCCAACTGCAAATGGATAAACTTTATCTCACATTTTTTGTGTGAGAATTGTCGTCTAAAGCAGAGGATGCATAATGGGATTGGAATGTTAGAGATTGTTGTCCATGGTTTATGTCAAGATTTGTTTTTCTGACTAATGTAGCATGTGTAATGAACAGGAAAACGTGTAGTGAAAATGTTGATATACTTCTTGTCTCCAGTTGTCTTCTTTCCCAAACACAGGAGGACAAATATTTTAAATATTTTAAGTTTCTACAGAGCACACAGTCTTGGAGATGTCCTGAGTGTGTTTCAAGTTCTAGACATAAAAATCCTGACACAAAGCACTACACACTTTTTGAGGACTGTAAGAAAAGCATAGAAAGTCTTTAAAAAAAATCTTCACAGTAAATTTTAGGGGTTAATTATGTAGAAAAATCTAGCTAGGTAAAACAGCTGATTTGTAATTAAAGTAGAACGGAGCACAGTTGGAACTTGTCACAGAAGTAAAGGTTTTAGTTCTCAAATACCCCAAACTTTGTTTCACAGCTTATTGTAAAGCCTGCAGTTGTCTGTCAGTGCAGTATGCCCTGTTTTTCTGATGCTGTAATTTTGGGAGGCGAAACGTAAAAATGTAACGATTTCTTTTTGTGAATTAGCAGTGTCTCATCTGAAATTTTCTTCTCCACTAATAGGGAGTGATAAATTTAAATTTGTATTGTTCAGCATGGAGAAACATATAACACATAAAATATTTTAGAAGTTCCTTCTTTGAAGCAGATTTTTAGATTCATAGGCTAAACATCTTAGCTTAGCGCTTATTTGAAAAAAGAAAAATAAACAGAAATGCCAATTCTGTGCTGTAAGAATTCATATGGGGGGTAATGGCTGAGCAGTAAGGGACTTAATTTGCAGTAGAACTCCATATAGTTTTCTTCCTTGGTGATGTAGTTGTTCCTTCTTCCCCATTCCCTGTATTTCAGACCAGCTATCCCGCTTGCACATGATTCTGAAGCCTTTCATGTTGAGAAGAATCAAGAAGGATGTGGAAAATGAGCTGTCAGATAAGGTTAGAAAAAGTATTTATCTGGAATGAGTATTTCAACTTCATTGTCATAGCTCTATTCTCTAATCTGGTTTTTGCAAACTCATTTGCCAGACTGCATACCTGAAATTTGATTGTAGACCTTTCATGAACCTTCAGTTTCTGGCACCACATGCCAGCAGTCTCATTAGATGTGAATGTAGCTGAAGAACTCCCAATTAATAAACTTTTCTTGTAGGGAAAACATTTCGTTAACAGTTACAAATAAAAAAATCTTTAAGCCTGATTAAGTTGACAGAAATAGCACTAATTGAAGTGAAGGAGATTGATATGAAAATGACTGGGTCATAAACATCTCCAATTGCCTTTGTAAAGGATTTGACATGGATTTAGGATTCTTTTTTCTTGCTTTGAAAGAGCAAGAAATACATAGTGGCAACATCATACTTTTCTCTCTTGTTAGTGTCTTAATTTCATGTGGATTTTAGCAATACTGGATGATTTTGTGGTCAGCATGTCCCCGAGTTTTGGGACCACTGGCTGAGAGACATCTGCTTTGCTCTGATGTGCTTATTAAATTTCAAAACAAGAACTTTTCGCAGCCACTGTTGTTAATGTGGTGCACCTGTGGTTGTCGTGGGCTCCTGACACCTGTTTAAGATGGCTTTAAATGTGTCGCATGCTAACAGGAGCACAGTTGAACTGAGGTCAGATTTTAAGCTGATCAGCTGCAGATGTGATCTTTTCAGAGCTTTTTAGGAACATACCTCCTTGCTTAGTTGTGCTCACATAGTTTTAAAGGTCTTTCTCTTATATCGTTATCTAAGCCTTCCAAAGTATTCCCGTTGTTAAGTCCTTTCCAGGTTGGATCTTGAAATACAAATATGAATGCGACTGCCTTTATGTGTGTTTTTTGAGAAAGTTATGTTTTGCTTAAGATACATTTCTCCTTTGTGTGTACTGATGTGGTCACCCTCTATTTCAGAGATAGAGAAGGCTAAACCTTCATTCCTGTTTTGCAGATTGAAATTCTTATGTACTGCCAGCAGACAAGTCGACAGAAGCTGTTGTACCAAGCTCTGAAAAACAAAATCTCTATTGATGACCTCCTGCAGTCCTCGATGGGCACTACTCAGCAAGCACAGACCACCACTAGTAGTCTCATGAACCTTGTCATGCAGTTCAGGAAGGTAAGGCTATTTTCATTAATAATTTTTTAACAGTATAATCATTCATTAGCACAAAACTAAAATGCGGCTTCTAGAAAACACCATGTAAAAAAAATTCTGGCATAGGTAAGCAAATTTGCATGCAGTTCAATTGTGTCTCTGATGCGGTGTAGCGTGATGTTGGGGTAGAATAGCTTTAGCCAAGTGCTGTGTGCATCTGCGAACTGATTTGGTTCCAAATTGGTTGTTGAGATCATTTGCTTGGGAAGAAGAGGCAATAGCTGTTACGTGAATAGGAAAAGATACGATGCTGTATTCAAATGTAAGTAGATATACTAAATAGCTGGGTCACACTAATCAATATTAAAGTTTCAGTGATCGATAGTCATAGTTGATTTGGGATGTAAATGCTGCCTCAGACTAAATAAATTCCTCCCAGTGTTTGACGTGCTCTCTCTCTCACAGGTGTGCAATCACCCAGAGCTGTTTGAGCGGCAAGAAACTTGGTCTCCATTTCACATCTCCCTAAAGCCATACCAGATTTCGAAGTTCATCTACCGTCATGGACAGATCAGGGTCTTTAACCACTCACGGGACAGGCAAGCCTACTTCACTTCCTCTCCAGCTTAGCTTATTCAGTGTTATTACTTAGACTTATTTTAGCTTTTTAAGTGCTAATTAACTCCCTTACCTGATGTACTTAAATGACATTGGCCAAGCGATGCGTTCCTAGTTTTCTTTCATTCATTCAGCTGTTAAGCATCTGATACCTGATGCTCTTTCTTGGTAGAATCCTGGTCATCAAATACACCTTTGATGGAAGAAGAAAGTCAGGGAAAGGAATTTAGAGTTGTTGCTGATGATGTGTAATAGAATTAAGCCTTAAAAGAATTCTTAAAAAAAAAAAAAAGCCAGACTGGTTTCCCTTCAGTGAGTTTTCATGTTCAGTGCCTGTCTGTTGTGACATGGAATATAGTGAGCATCTTCTAGTGCCTTGACAGCTTTTAACGCTTACCATGGGTGAATAGAAGCTGCCCGAGTGCTGTTTCCTGTTTTCTCTGGAAGTGGCAATTCTTGATTAATTTTGTTTGCGTTCAGTTATGAGAAATGCTCGGGGCAGAGGTGAAAAAGCTCTGTTTGAAGATCAGACCAACTGTTCTACAGCAACTCCAGAACAATGGTGTGTCTCAGTGTCAAAATGACCAGTAGCACGTGTGGACTGATGGTGCTTTTCTCTTACTGCCATCCAATTCCAGATAGCCAGGGCACTGAAATACTGACAATGAGGAACTGAATGCTTACTCTACATTTTCTGCTGATTGTGTGATATAACACTGTATGTGTTAACACCTTTTTAGTGATTTGGTTTGGTTTTTTTGCTTTCATTTTCAGGTGGTTACGGGTTTTACTTTCGCCATTTGCACCAGACCACATCCAGCAGTCTCTCTTTCATAGGAAGGGTAGGTTTACAGTCCTGGGAAACAAGTGGGTTGCACACTTGCATATGATGATTTTTGTAATGTGTCTTATTCATGGGAAAGGTCTAGGAGGCCAGATCAGTTAGTCCTCAGAGATTATCTGATTAGAACTTGTTCGAATTCTGTTAACATTTGTACTTGCATGTATATTTCATTTGCTCAATGAGGAAAGGGTGGAAACAGCTGCAAGAATAATCTGTGGACAACTTGTTATTTAGTCACTTCTTAATCCTACTGCAGTCGCTTGTTCCATTCCTCCTGTCTTGTTCTAACTTGCTTCAAGGGATTAATGCTGCCTTTTTAGTCTAATGTGGATTTTTCACACATTCAGTTCAGAGAACTCCTGGATTCATTTCAGTACAGTCTGTATTGTATGTTAAACTGCCAGCTTCTCTTCAAGTAAAAAGTAGATGAGATGCAAGTGACCCAGGAGCGAATCAATGAGCAAAAAACCCGCATAAGCGGCTTATATTGACAAACATAATTTATTATTATAGATGATTGATTTTTTTTTCGCTAAAAAGAGCTAACTAGATTGCTCAGCTGCTGGGGTGGGAATAACTTCAGGAGAAAAAAGCAAGAGATATCCTGGCTGCATTTCTGTGCTGAAATCTGTTAGCATGGACCTCTCAACTGTGCAAAACCCTTTTCAAGTAAGAAGAACCAGATGCAGCTGCAGGAGTTTGCGCTTGTCTGTAACTCTCTAACTTCTGTATATCTTGCCAATTATTCTGGTTTCTGTTTGTTTTGGTGTTCATAATTGGCTTTTTCTTTGGATCACTTTTCGGCATATCGTAAAAGGAAAATAATTTGGAGAGTATAATTTTTCTATAGAAGTTAAAAAATAAAAATATGTGAATGGTATTGAGGTTACACAGTACACATGGGTGGGCCTGAAAGGCTTTTTTCGTTAACACTGAAACATGTCTACTCTGCTCCCCACACTTCACTGCAGTGCATCCATTGTCCTCACCATATCTGTGGCATCCTTATGCCCATACTCACATTCCCCCACGATTCCTACATCTCCTTCCAACCTGTCTGGGTGAGAGGGAGCATGGTGGGCAGGCATCCTGAGCTGTGTGTGCTCTGGTCAGACGCCTGGCAGATAGTGTTTGTGCACACTGCCTATTGATTATTAGGAGGCACAATCAATGCCCTTACCTGCTACGTGGCTTTCTGGCCAAGAATATATTTGTCTTTTTGGTAAACGCCCTTCTTTTGCCCAGACTAGAAAATGAACTGGAACTTGGAGTCAGCAATTCAGACTAAATTTTCAATATTTCTAAAAGTTCTAGGTTAAATTAGAATCTCCTTTTTATTCACCTAGGTTTGTCATTTGTCAGAGAATATGTATCTTGAATTGATGAAGTGAATGTATCTTTTTTAGCTATGAGTGTCTGTGAAATGCATTGGCCTAACTTCAGTGTTTCTGTGATACAGGCATCAATGAAGAAAGCTGTTTTTCTTTTCTCCGATTTATTGATGTCTCTCCAGCAGAAATGGCAAACCTCATGAATCAGGGACATTTAGCCAGGTGAGAACAACTTTTTCTTATTTATTTTTATAGTAATTAAGGTAATGTTAGAGGCATCTCTCCATAAGACTGCATTTTTTATGCCTCCTAATATTATCACTTGCCTGTCATTATCTAGTATTATGGCAGCTTCTAGAGCGTTCCTCTAGGTGTAGGGCACTGTCATGCAAGGCAATTTTTATGCCTCTTTCAAAAGAAAACCTCTGTTACGAAGATTTGACATTGTAAACACACAACACAGTCAAAGGGCAACAGAAGAGTTTGCTTAGGATCACGCTGGAGGTTGCTGGCACTATCAAGTGCAAAATCCAGACTTTTGAAGGCCACTTTATTGCAGTGCTTACTAATTGAACTTGAGCTCATGTTTTAACACAGGCCAAGTAAGCTTGTTCTGTGATAGTTGTTCTTCAGCTCCGAGCCGTATTGTCTACTTTCCACATGTGCTGTTTTTAATAGGGAATGGAACTCCAATGTGTAGACTTAGGATAATGGATTTTTAGCACCGTGAGCTGTATTACCTTGGAAAGGGAGGTGATCTGTTTAAATATTGGAACAGACAGTACTCTGACTGAAGTTAGATAGTGACTGTATGAAACTTGAGAATAAAAGCAAGTCTTTATTGATAAATATCGGTGTTTTCCTTAGGGCTTTGTAAGTGTGATATACTTTTATTGTTGTGGTTATATTGGACCACTGTTTCTTGTCTGTGTTTCACTAACATAAGACAAATCTGTCTTGATCTATCTGAATGATCTTTATGATAAACTCTGTATGGAGCAATATATAGAGAAGTCAGAGTGAAATTTTAAGTAGCAGTGGCTAACTTGAGCTTGACCCTTTTAAACAGAGTGCTTCAAAGTGTATTCTGATTTAATAATTTCGATTCAGTAAAGCCACCTTAGAAAAAATGAAAAAAAGAGTAATATAATTGGAAGATGTGTAGCAAAAAATACTTCCTTTACGTTGGGACACTGTAAACCTGAGATTGTAAAAAAACATTTGTGTCCAATAGTTATGTTGTAAATATACTCAAGCCTTTCTTTTACAAAGCAGTGAATAAATGTTACCTACTGTGTTTTGTTTCAGGTGGTTAGCTCTTTTCCTGTCTCTGAAGGCATCCTACAGGCTCCATCACATGCGCTCCTGGGCGGAGAGCGAAGGGGAGAAACAGCAGGGGTCATGCTGTCTGAGGAACAGGGATTTCCTGCTTGATGTAAATTTCCCGCTGTCTTTCCCTAACTTGCACAGCTGCACTTTGCTGCAGGTAAGCAAAATTTCTGTGCTGGCCACATCACAGTAGCAAATCCTCACTAGTGAGAAATGACAAATACAAACTTGGAAATAGGATGGCTTCGTTATCTGCCTTACTAGATAGAGTTAATGAAGTTCAGAGTGAACAGCAAAATCGTGCAACTGCTATGTTCCTCCCATGTGAAGATACCACTTCAAAACTTACTATAAAAAATAAATCAACTCAAAGACTTCTAATTAATTCTTAAAAATATTACTGGAGCAGCAGAACTAGATTCGTGATTTGTCAGTGATGGATTCTATATGTAAATTTAAGAGTTTTGTAATGTTTTTCTACATGTAAGATGCCTTTTTTCTGACTGAAACCAACTCCTCTTCTTAAATTCAATACATTGTTGCAGCAACTGGGGAAAGCAGAGACTTCAGCCTAGCAGTTTTTCAGAGCTGGTGGATGAGCATTATCAGTGGTGTCTTTCTACTCTGAAACTCGCTTCTGCTCCTGTCTGGGAGACTCTAAATGTGTTCATCTTGCTGTGTAACGGGAGGTTATTTTCTCTAATATTTTGCCTGGGATTTGTGTGAAGGTTTTGTCTTTTTGTGACTAAATTGCTGTTGATTTCCTGAGTTAGGTTACAACTCCATTGATTCGTTTCAGGAGGAAATAAGTTCACAAAAGTGCTAGCGTAAAGTCAAGAAAGCATCTTAGGGCAGTTAGCAGATATGCAGTACAAAAATCTTTTCTAAAACAGTGAGATTGTGCCAAATTTCTCTAGGGAATATTACTTCTGTTCATGAGTGTGGAAGGGGAAAGGAGATAGCCAGAATTCAATTGAATAGCGTGTAGAGGAAGTTGAAATCGAAGACGCAGAAGCAGTAGGAAACCAGCCTTGGGCTTGGTGTCATGTTTTGCAGCGTTAACAGCAAAGCCAACAAAATGAGTCCTAGTTATCAAACAAAGAGCAAGCCAACTGAGATGTATGCCAGTTAACTCTGACCGTGCTGGTGTTTAAATATTCTGCGTTTCCATGTCTAGCTTGCTAAAGTGTCTGTGGATTTGCACTCAGTTTTGTTTAAGATGATATTAAAGGGTTTGTATACTGACACTGTAAATGCTTATCTCTGAAAGTAGATACTGTAGCTCTGTCCTCTCCTTGGTATGGTTGAGGAAAACTTGGGTGGAGCCATTAATTTTGTAGCCTAACAGTTGAGGAGTAGAGGACAGTGTCAGAAGTTGCAAAAGTTGTATGCACTTACACAAGGTAGCATGCATTTTTACATATGTAAAAAGAAAATCTAGATTTTTACATAGCCTTTGGGTTAGTGTGTATAAGTATTAAAACGAAAGTCATTATATTTTCTTAAAGAGCAAAAGGTGAGTTAACATTATCAATATTAAATATGAGATATGGAATATTCACATATAGGTTTAGGTTGCAGACTCACCCGTACCACAACCTGGCCAGACTTAACTGTAATTTGATTTCTCCAAATAATTTCTGTTCTTTGAGAAAGTCATTCATTACTTGCGTCTCTGGGGGTCCCAGTCCTGTGACTGCATGTAACTAGTGACTGGTGTAACTAGTACCTTTAACACAGAAAACAACAAGCTCAAGAGCAAAGTTCATCAGTGTGTGCAATACAGTGCATTTGTGATAACCTCAGAAAATCTAAAGGAATTTTAGCCCTACAGTTATGACAGATTCTTTTGAACTGTTTTGTAACCTGCATCTTAGACAAATTACCAGCTAAAGTCACTTTAAAACAAGCTCTGTCTTGCAGAATTTTGTTTGCACAGCTTACATATAGAACATCTGAAAAAGAAGAAAATGTCAAAACCAAAGGGAAAGTTGAAAAACAAACTGCTCTTCACATGCCTTTTAGCAGCATGCATCATCATCCTGAGTGAAAATGAATACACTTTTATCTTAACCCAAATTTGAGAAACTTTGAATGTAAAATTTCCCAAGGCTTTTTCTAGGGCTTAATAAGATAGTAACTTGTAGGGAGCGAGGAGGGGGAGAAACAGAGGAAAAAGGAAATGGTATAAATCTGGAAAGGCTTTTCTTAACTGCTCAGATCAGCATTTCCGATATGAGACAAACTATGAAAATAAGTCAGTAGACAAAAAAAGAAGACACATTTATTTTTAATAGAACTTTCTGAAATTGAGGTGACATCTATCTAAAGATAGTAAGAGTTTTTTCATGTGAACACAGAAATGCCTTGCAGTGTGAGGTTTCTTCATTCCCCTTACTCAGCACCTCCACAATGTGTGTATGTATATACATTGACTTGAATTAATATAAAATCTGATCTGTTGAGGTGAATCCCACTCTCCTTTGTTTTCTTAATTTTCTTCCTTTAAAAAAATCAAGAGTGTTAATGAGCTTAAGTTGCTGGTAGCAATCATAGAATAGTTTGCCTTGGAAGGCAACTCCAAAGATCATCTTGTCCAACCCCCCTGCAATGAGCAGGGACATCTTCACCTAGATCAGGTTGACCCTTCCAACCTGACCTTGAATGTTACCTTTCTGGGCAACCTGTTCCTGTGTTTCACCACCCTCATTTAAAAAAATTTCTTCCTTATTCTACTCTGAATCCACTGTCTTCTAGTTTAAAACCGTTACCCCATGTCCTATTGCTGCAGGCCCTACTGAAATGGGGCCTTTCTTGCAAAAAGGCCACAATAATGTCTCCCCAGAGCATTCTCTTCTCCAGGCTGAGCAACCCCAACTCTCTCAGCCTGTCCTGACGGCAGAGGGGTTCCAGCTATCTGATCATCTGCATAGCCTCCTCTGCACTCACTCCAACATGTCCATGCCTTTCTTATGTAGGGTGGACAAGAGGTGGACACCATACTCCAGGTGGGGTCTCACCAAGGCAGAGTAGAGGGGCAAAATCACCTCTCTCAACCTGCTGACCACGCTTCTCTTGATGCAGCCCAGGGTGCAGTTGGCTTTCTGGGCTGCCAGCACGCATTGCCAGCTCACGTCCAGCTTTTCGTCAATCACACGTATTTATGTATTTATACGCAGCTCTGCTTCCAATACAGAAAGGCCTCTTTCAACACTTCCTTTGGCTTGCGTGGTTGCAGTAGATGTGTACATACTTATTTTTTAACAATCCTCCTCTTTAGCTCTTGGCTTTGTTGTTCTAAGGTACCCGATCCATTTCAGAGCCGTGGCTGTGTTCAGTTCTGTCACCTTACCCGGTCTGTTCCGTGTGTGTGACCGACGGGAGGCTGGTTTCCCCTGTCCCTCTTATCTCTGGTGTCTGCTCTCCTCATGAATACTTAATGGCTGCCTAAGTCAAGGAATTCAGAGGGGGATGTTTCTGACGTGACCTGCCCGTAATTTGTACACAGGAAGCATGGTGCTGAGAACCAGATTAATGCCCAGCTACCAGAACTACTTATAACGCTGTGTACATATAAAAATAATACTTTTATTTTTGGATACCTTCTTGGAAGTTTTCCCTTGTGTTTCTTCATGGATACGTCTAATTGGGCTAAAGCCATCGTCAGTACTGGCTTCCAAAAGAGAGTTAAGTAACAGGCTTGCACAGGTTTGGAATTACAGTATGTTAGCTTCCTCTCTATCCATTTCTTGAACTCTCACTTTCTAGGAAATAAAGTTAACGAACCCCTCTGACGACCAGGCCACAACCAGTATGCCAGTGCTTGCTGTCGTAAGACTTAATGGAAACCCCTTGTGACTGCGTGCAATGTTTATTTCTCCTTGTAAACCAGCTGTACCCCCAGTATGTGGGCCAGGGGTGGGGAGGACGGGGACTTTGAGCTGAAGTGGTCGTGTAGCCTGCTGGTAGCCTGCTGTTGCTGAGAGGGAAGTCACTTTTCCCTGCTGACCCTTGCTGTCCTTTCGTTACTTCCAACCACCACCATTTCTGGTCCTCAGATGGATAATCCAGCGTTCTTATCTGTTGTCCGCAGCTGTGTACTCCCAGCCTTGCGTTGCCCACTCTGCTGTTTTACCAGGTGGTGAAACAAATCACAAAACTAACTCAGAGTGGAGGGGCAAGGGTTTATTTTCATCTTCATCAGCATCTTAATGAATGCAGGCAGCTAGGCCAGCAAGAAGGGGCTCTGCGGGGACAGGAGTGAACACGTGAAGCAGTTGTTGCTTAAGCTAGCATTACTGAGGAAGAATTGCCAGCTGAGTAAGAGCCTGTTTTTGGGATCACTTCACATTATCCACTGTGGCCCAAGCTTTGACCTGTGCTTGTTTAGCCCTGCTGAGTGTCAGTGAAAGGCTATTGTCAGCTATTTCTGCTCTCACCTTTTATATAGAGGAGCAGATGTTCAGTCAGAGAGTATGAACTTTCTTTTTGCCAGCTCCAGACCACGAGTTGCTCTGGTAGCAGCTGCAAGACCCACTTACATGCTGGGACTGACTGATTGTATTTCTGAGGTGGTGTTGGCACGTATGTAGAATAAGACTGTTTTTTTCCCTTGTCAGCACATTCCAAATTGTATGGGTTAGCCATCTGCATCTTGTGCAGTGCATTTACATCTGGAACCAGAAAGGGCCCAGAATGCATGAACCATGATAAGACTATTGCTCTGGATGTGTTCTAGCTTTTTTCTGACATATGTAGGAGTGCATATGCCCAGTGTATGACACGATGGTATAAAAGGTGTCTGCTTCTGTTATGTGCCCGGATGCTTAGAATTTCAAACACTGGGATTTTAGAAAATGGGGAGGCTATGCAGAATAAAAGTAGCATGCAGTTAATTTTGGCGCTTTAGGAACCGGAGCAGAACAATGCCAAAGGTTTAGATGCTGTTTACATTTTACTTAAGTGAACTAGAATTGTCAGGGCAGCACATCCTGTCATCCTGTGGCAGTGAGAGATATACTTCTTCATGTTGCTTTTTTGTTGCATGATTCCTGTAGTATACAGAATAATGCTCTGTATGCTATAGGAAACAAATATACATAACAATATATAACAATTGGTTGTTATGAATATAGAAGACTCAGAGTAAAAACTAAGCAGCAAAAACGGCGTAGTCTATAAGCAGTTTATTTTCTTGTTTGATGGAGATATTTACAATAGAAAAGGAAGTATAATAACTGATGCAAGAAAATAAAATTTTTTCTGTTCTTTTTCTGTGTAAAGTTGAGCGTATTCAGAAAGCACTCCTTTCTTTCAACTGCAGTGTCAGTTCAGTGTGCCCCCCCATTTTGGATTAATATATTT